CAGGGAGCCCGATATGGGGCTTGATCCCAGGACCCCGGGGACCATGACCCGAGCCAAAAGCAGACGCCCAACCAACTGAGCCACTCAGGTGCCCCTGCCCTCAATATTTAATGATAAAATATAAAACATGTATTAAGAACACTTAAAAATATATAATAAAGTTGAAAGGTTTATAAGTACCATGTATCCATGCGTTAGATTTTAAAATTGGTATTTTGCTATATTGTTCTATATATATTTATTCATCTATCCATCCATCTCTTGTACTTTTTTGTACTTCTTTAAGTCAGTAGCAGATTTCAGTGCATTTCATCCCCAAGTACACCAACACATGCATATCATTAGCTAGAGTTCAATATTTTTTAAGGATTCCCTTTTTCTTTTTCAGTACAATATACACATGATAAGATACATACATCTTAGTGTACCATATAATGAGTTTCACAAAAGCATATACTTTAATATGCTGTTTTATAGTAAATCCCTATCAAGACATGGTGCTCTGCTGGGGTACCTGGGTGACTTCAGTCGTTAAGCTTCTGCCTTTGGCTCAGGTCATGATCCCAGGGTCCTGGGATCGAGCCCCGCTTCGGGCTCCCTGTTCATCAGGAGTCTGCTTCTCCCTTTCCCTCTGCCCCTCCCCCCGCTAGTGCTCTCTCTCACTCTCTCTCTCAAATAAATAAATAAATAAATAAATAAATATTAGAAAAAAAAGGAAAGAAAAGAAATTCTTGAACGGGTAAACCAGTCTATGGTGAAAAATATCAGGACAGCGTTTGCCTCGAGGGGAAGGGTGGTGAACACTGGCCAGGAAGGGGCACGCGTGGATTTTCTGAGATGATAGTAATGCACCGTGTCTTTTTTTTTTTTTTTTAAGATTTTTATTTATTTCTTTGAGAGAGAGAGAGAGAGATAGTGAGAGAGAGGGGCTGTGAACATTCTTAGACACATCTTTTTGAGGACATGTGCTTTCAGATCCTAAGCGTGTAGTGCTAGGTCAGAGGATGGTGTGGTTTAGTCCATTACTTGCATTTGAAAGTGCCAGAACATTTTCCAAAACTGGTTGTACTCTTTCACACCCCCCCCTCACCCCCAGGAGTGCAGGAGAGCTCCAACTGCTCCACACCCTCTCCGGCCCTTGTTGTCAGCTTTTACAGTGTTAAGCAATCTAGTGGGTCTGTCGTAGTGTGTCATTTTGTGATTGTTTTAATGTTCATTTCCCTGACAATCACACTGAGCGCCTTTTCATAGGCTTGGCTGTCTCTGCGTCTCCCTTCGTTAAGGGTCTGCTCACAGTCTTCCCTTTCTTTTTGCACTTGTTTTTTAAAATGTTTATTATTGAGTTGTAAGAGTTTTAAATATATACTTATCTAACAAAAGACTGGAATTTGGGATATATATAAGTATATATACTTTTTTCTTTGTGGGTAAGATTTTGAGAATTTTCTTTCTTTCAAGATTTTACTTATTTATTTGACAGAGAGAACAGGGGGAGAAGAAACACAAGCAGGGGGAGTGGGAGAGGGAACCCGATGCGGGGCTTGATCCCAGGACCCGGGGATCATGACCTGAGCCGAAGGCAGGCGCTTAACAACTGAGCCACCCAGGTGCCCCTAACTTTTGGGCTTTTAAAAATATATTTGCTTGCTTTCTATTTCATTGATTTGTGCTCCTATATTTATTGTTTCCTCCCTTCTCCTTAAGTTGCTGTGTTATGTTTTTACGAAGAGTATTTTGGTTGGTTTGTTTAGCAGTCTGCAAACTTGGCTAGATATAAACTCCCAACTTTTTTCCCCCTCGGTGGGCAGCAACAGAATTCTTAGTTCAGTTGTTGACCTTAACTGGGCTGCTTGGCGTCTGCCTGATGCACACAGTTGGGGGATTAGCCAGTATCTTGAATAGACTTTATACACAAAATTAGGACCATCCGCCTATGGCTCTGTTCCTTCTGGAAATTGCTCTTTCACTTTATGGCTACTGGAGTCACCCCAAACTCTGCTGGTTCTTTGAGCCAATATGGCTGCAGGTTTTCTATCTGAGTTTTAGCTGTCTTACTTGGCTTGACTGGGGTCTGCCCTCAGATGAAACCGGTAAACAAAGGAAAACTCACTGGCGCTTCTTCCTTCTTCCAAGTGTAGGTTCAATTCCCCTCCAGTGTCCCCTCCAGGGCCTGCTTTTGGCTGCTCTCTGGTGCCTTCGGGCTGTTGTTTTTTTTGTATTTGGTCAAGAGTTTAAAGTTGTTTTTAAAGCTGTTATCTGCAGGCGGGTTAATCCACTAGGAGCTAATCTGTCATTATCAGAAGCTGCAAACCCACAGTTTGTTCGTTTATAATCTCATTCCTCTCCCCGTCTCCGACCGTTCTGTTTGTAGGAGGCGATATGGCCAGATTTCTAGCGTCAGGAGCGAAACTGAAGTGCTTCTAAAACTCACAAACCGGATTACTTGGCCTCTGAATGGCTGAGCTTGCTATGTCAATATTCTTTCAAAAGAAGAACTCTCATTTCCTTCTGTTGTAGGAGCACCTGGCTAATGGAAGACTGAGTAATTCTGGGCAAAATTGGAAAGTCCATTTATTTTTTAAAAAGATTTTATTTATTTATTTGAGAGAGCGAGAGCAAACGAAAGGGGGGGCAGAGGGAGAAGGAGAAGCAGATTCCTTCCTTAGCGGGGAGGGCGACACGGGGCTCGATCCCAGGACCCTGAGATCATGACTTGAACCAAAGGCAGACGCTTAACCGGCTGAGCCACCCAGGCACCCCTGGGTGATTCTCTGTTGTGGTGAAAGGAGACCTTTTTTATGTGCATCGCATGGAACAGACACCACCTACCTCTAGAAGGAGAAAGGCCTTTTGGATGCCCTAACACAGGCCCTTGCTGCCCCAACCCCGTACGCATGTGGTGTGCTATGGTGGGTTTTGCTGTGGTGAACTAGGGACCAGGGTTGTGTGGTGTCACGTGGCGTGGTGTGTTGTGATCTGAGAGGAATCTGATGACTATGGCAGAGTCTTCCAGTAGTTACGCAGCCCCATGGGGATGCGGACCAAAGGGCATCAGAGAATGTTGATTGTCAAGATGAAGTACCAACGTAGTGGTTTCCTTATCTGCATTGGCTGCATCTCAGAAGAAAGCAAGTCTTCTGTGCCATCCTGCAGCTAGTCCGTGGGCTAACGTGGCAACCACAGTATCTTATGTCACAACAAAGTGTATAAATGCAGGGCCACACGCATCACCCATCCATCCCACTCATTCCATCCATTATGGGGCAGAGTCAGGCACTGAACTGAAAATAAATTTTATCCGTTATTTTGCAGCTTTAAAAATGTTGAATATTTTACATTTTCTGTTATAAAACCAATCACAACTCGCATGCCAGTTCCGATAAAAGACAAGCATGGTTTTAAAATATGTCCATGGTATCTAGGGTTTGTGGATGCCACAAATGGCCTGAATTTGTGTCCCCTCAAGGTTCATATACTGAATTCTCACCTCCAAGGTGATGTTGTTAGGTGGGGTCTTTGGGAAGTGATTAGGTGATGAGTGTGGAGCCCCCATAAATGAGATGAGTGCTCTTATTAAAGGGACTCTACAGAGCTCCCTTGCCCTTTCCATGGTGAGAGGATAAAATGAGAATTCTACAACCCAGGGGGCGCCTGGGTGGCTCAGTTGGGTAGGCGGCTGCCTTCGGCTCAGGTCATGATCCTGGAGTCCCGGGATCAAGCCCCACATCTGGCTCCCTGCTCAGCGGGGAGTCTGCTTCTCCCTCTGACCCTCCCCCCTCTTGTTCTCTCTCTCACTTTCTCTCTCTCAAATAAATGAATAAAATCTTTTTTTTAAAAAAAAAAAAGAGGGGCGCCTGGGTGGCTCAGTCGTTAAGCATCTGCCTTTGGCTCAGGTCATGATCCCAGGGTCCTGGGATCGAGCCCCACATTGGGCTCCCTGCTTAGCGGGAAGCCTGCTTCTCCCTCTCCCACTCCTCCTGCTTGTGTTCTCTCTCTCGCTGTGTCTCTGTCAAGTAAAAAATCTTTAAAAAAAAAAAAAGAATTCTACAACCCAGAAGAGGGTCCTCACCCAGCTATAATGGCACCCTGATCTCAGCCTTCCAGTCTCCCAAACTATGAGAAATAAACATTTTTTATTTATAAGTCACCCAGTCTGTTGTATCTGATTATAGCAGCCAGGATGGACTATGACAGTGGACTTCAAGACTAATTACTCCATTACTCCAATATTCTGCCAGGGACTTCCAAGAGAGGCTAAACTTTTTCAAGGATCATAGGTCATGGACCTCTAATGATTTGTTTTATTTACATATTTTCATAACATGAAACTTTATGTTTCATGTGTTCTAGACATTCTAGAACACATTCAGGAACTCTGAGTTAGAGAACAGGTTAGCCCCTCGCTGTTTGGTCTTAGTTCTCCTTTCCTCTGATAGAGCAGTTCTTGTTAAAAGCTGTCTTTGGGGGCGCCTGGGTGTCTCAGTTGGATAAGCATCCAACTCTTTGCTTTCGGCTCAGGTCATGATCTCAGGGTCATGAGATTGAGCCCCCTGGTGGGCTCCACGCTCAGCAGAGTCTGCTTGAGATTCTCTTTCTCCTTCTCCCTCTGCCCCTCCCACCTCCGCTCTGGTGAGCCCTGAGCATTATTTATTCAATGAGCAGATTCACCGAAAGGGTAGTATTTTGTTTTGGTTTGGTTGGCTTTAGTTAAACAGCTCTAGATGTTTCTGAGGTAAATATTCTAAGTCTTTTGAGCAATTCTCTTTGAAAGAGAGCAAGTGTTAAGAGAAGGAAATCCAGGACCCCCTGGAAGACTGGGGCACAGAATGACACCATGATTTACTGGAAGCTAGTCTGCAGCAGAGGGCATGGGAGGGCAGGGACAGGCGAGGAAAACAAAGGAGAGGTAGGGGAGGCAAGACGGGGAGAAGAGGACGAGAGAAAGCAGGGGGCGGGGCGGGGGGAGACACACACACACACACACGGTGAGATTGATTTAACTTCTCAATGCTCTTTATTTGTCCACCTGCTTTGTTGCCATGGCAATCACCAACAGATGACAGGTGATGATGCTGAACGTGGAAAGAGCCATAGCCTTCCTAGTTGCCCCGCCTCTATGGTCACCCCCTCAATCCATTCTTCACATGGCCTCTAGAATGATGCCAAGGGCTGGTGAAGTCCATTCTCTGTCTTCATTCCTCATCTTCATTTCTCATCATATCCCCGCCACTGCCCCTTGGCCTTGAACTGTCCAAGTGCCAAACCTGATGGGGACTCGAGTATCAGCCATGTCAAGGTGCCCAGGAGTGAGAGTCAGTGTGATCTTTGCTTGCCCTTGAACTGCAGCCTGGGTTCCCAGTGGGCTCCCTGACCTCCCACATCTTTTTCCAAGGGACCTGGAGTCATGCTAACGGTTAGAGAGGGTGAGACCTTGCTCTTTAAGAAAGGAAGTCAGAGAGGAAATGCCTTTTGCTTTCGTTTCTTCGAGGCTGTCCTGAAGATCTTCAAGCAGGAATGTGTTCTCTGTCACTCACAGATGAAATTTCACACTGAGCCACATTGGTAACTAAAAGGAAAGTATGTTTCCTACTGCAAGGTGCTAGCTAAGCGCTCTACCAGGAACATTTAGAACATCAAGTTGTTGTCTACTTTCTGGAGAGCTTTCTCATCATGCTTGTTCTGTGTTCATTATGTTTAAGTATACGCTGCTGGAAATGCTCCTCAGGAGAGTGGTCACCTCCATCTTGACGCTCTTCCTTCCTCCAGCCCACCTGGCCCCTCACATCACAGAACATTTCTGCTCTGCCGTCTGCTTCATTTCCGTGAAGGTGGCCTGGGCTTTTTCTTTTATGGTATCCAAGTCCATGTTCTGGAGATTCTGTAAATGCCCAAGAATAGAATCCTTGTCTTCTTCCTCTTCTTGATCTTCATCTACCATTTTCCGGAGATCTTCGGGCAAGTCTACATCGTCTCCAGCCATCTGGATTTGGTTCTCGTCCATTTCACTCTGTGCAAAACACAAATACAGAAGAGATAAACCACTCTCAAACAACCAAACCACCAAACAGATAGTAAAAATAGCGGCAAAATCCTCTGTGGAGATGAAAGACGTGGATGGTGCGCTCGGCTGTCTCTCTGTGCAGAGCCTGGAGGTCCTGGTTGACATGCCCCTCATTCACTGCACCTCGGGCCGATCAGAACTTTCTACAAAGGTGGTTCTCAAAGTGTGGTGCCTGGGCCCAGCAGCATTAGGCATCTAGGAACATGGTAGAAAGACAAATCCTTGGGCCCACCCCAGACCAACTGAATCAGAAACTCCTGGGCGGAGCTCAGCACTATGGGTTTTTTAAAAAAAAGAATCCATCCCCATCTTGCCTGCCAGCAAAGCTTGAGAATCACACTGTAGACTCCGCCTCAGGGCAGCTTTGCAAGCTTTGCCATCTACCGGCCCCAGCCCGTGACTCAGTGGCCCCCGCTGATCCCAACCTGGAGGGTGCAGTCTGGGCTCACAGGGGCCAACCGTGCTCAGTCACCATGGCAACTTCTGCTTGACCTTTGCCCCTTCCCTCCCTTCGACTAGACAGGGGCCCCTTGTGGGGTGCAGAATCATGTCCAGTTCAACCTTGCACGCCCCGCACCTGGAAGCAAGTCCGCACGGGCGCTTGTTTATTAAGTGACTCGTCGGGGGCAGGGCTGCTACCCAGCATCCTTCTGCGCTCCTCCCACCACAGTCTGCCCCTTACATATTTCACTTTGTGATTCCAAGAGTGTTCCAGAATTTCGTAGTGCATGCTGCCTGGTCTTAGACATTCCTTTATCCCTTTGGCTGCGGGGCCGAGAGAGAAGAATCTAAAGAAGTTTCTCCGGGATGGGCGCCTGGGTGGCTCAGTCCCTTCAGTGTCTGATTCTTGATTTTGGCTCAGGTCATGACCTGATGATCTCAGGGTTGTGAAGATCGAGCCCCACATCGGGCTCCACACCCAGCTTAAGATCCTCTCTCTCCCTCTGCTCCTCCTTCCCCACTCCCTTTCTAAAAAAACCTTTCTCTGGGAAAGGTAAGGGTAGTTTATATTCCCAGGTGGCTGCATCAGATGATTTCTGAGATCAGGTTGTAACAGGAGGCAAACAGCGCTCCAGGGGCCCAGAAGATTACAGAACGTCAGAAAAACAAAGGGTCGGAAAGATCTCAGCAGGCTTTGGGGATCACCCACCTCGATGTGCTGTGACCAAAGTGTGTGAAAATTCACGTAGAGATAAAGCGATCACTTAGTCTTAATCAGACCCTCATTGATTTGATTTTAGAAAGATCTTGACACCTGCTGAGTGCCCAGGTGGAGTTAAAGTCAACACCTACAGGAAAATATTAATTCCCCTTGCCTGGGTGCTGAGAAGAAATGGCTATCAACAAACATCGGTTGTCTCTGGGTCCAAAGAGCACGTCAGAGTAAGGTGGACACTATTCTCCATCTGTAAAGTGGATCTCCCGGCCTTCTCCAGCTCTAGAGCCACGTGGCTCCCCCCAGAGTTCCTTCTTTTGGTTCTCTGGGCAGAAGGACAACAAGCCTGGCTGCAGGGTCATGTAGTGGCAGGATTCCCATGCGGGGGGAGACGTACCCCTTTTGGGGGGTACGATCCTCACACATGCCCTCCCGGAAGGCCCCTGGGAAGGGCTACTCTCCACCGCAGCCTCCCAAGGGAGAGAAGCCTCTCCTTGCACTCGGCCAGGCCTTGGCCCCTCAAAGCGCTTAATGGATTAATTAGTTCCTCGTCAAACTCTTGTGGGGATTAATTAGTTAGTTAATCCGCAGGGGCTCCCAGCCAACCCTCCATCTCTCTATTTTTTATTTACCTACCCTAGAGGTTGCCTTTCTTGCTGATCATCCTCTGGGCAATTTTGCGGGGAGGAGAGGAAAGGCAGGTCATCAGCCTGGCAATTCTCAGTTCCTGTCGACGCAGGACATCTCCCCTCTCTTACGCACCCCGAAATAAATGATGATTTGAAAAGGCATTCCTGGGAATTCTGGCCCTCCCTCCCCGCCCCTCTGGTTGGAAATAAGATCTCTGTGGATGTCACCGGAGTCAAAACCAAAGGAGTAGCCTGGAGGGACAGGCAGCTAGAGGGGTGCTGGGCCAGCCAGCTGGAGCTCAGAGAGTTGGGCCGCTCACGAGGGCGATGCTCCCCTGCCTCCCCTTCACCCCGCAGGTCAGCATGCTGCCTCTGGGGAAGCTTTGGAACCGTTCCTCCTTCAAGGAGGAGTTTCAAGTTTACTTTCTCCTCATTCCACTTGCCTAGGGAAGGGAGAGCGGTGGGGTTCCACTTTGCCTTACAACTCACCGAGGGGCTCTTGATTGGCACTTTTACCAAAGTGTGTCTCAAAGTGGGGTCCCCCAGGCCAGCAGCATCGGCGTCTCCTGGGGCCTTGTTGGAAACACACATCCTCAGACCTCACCCCGACCTGCTGACTCAGAAGCTGGGAGGGTGGGCCCAGCAATCTTGGACTTAGCGAGCCCTCCTAAGGTTTAAGTTTAAGAACCCCGGCTCCCCTTTCCTTGAAGACAGGACTGTAGCTGACTCATCTGCAAGGCTCCGAACCCAGCAGAGTGTCTGGCATGCAGACACAGACAGTAAACTCTTATTGAATGATTCTATGAGCCTGTCATCAGGGACGACAACAGCCTTCCCAATCCTTAAATGTGCAGGTCTGCTTTGCTGTAAAGAGCTCTATTGTCGTAGCTACTGACTTACTTGCCACGGCCGGTGGACCAGCACCCTGGGAGTCCAGTGTCGGCTTGAGAATCATGGCCTGAGTGCGAAGGTTGCCGCCACCACTTACACGCTGTGTGACCTTGGACACCTTACACAACCTCTCTGAGCTTTATTTCCTTACCTATAAATTGGGATTCTATTATTAGCCTTAGAGTTGTGAAGGATTAATTAGATGACATCTGCATTATTTGGAGTACATTAAGCAGTCAATCCCCAGTGGCTGCTCAGAAGTAGAATAACCCTCAGTGGTGGGCTGGGGATTTGCGCTGGATAATCATGACTCTTGCACATGGTGGTCAGCCTGATCAAGAGGCCTTGCTTTCTGTATACCTTCACCTCTGGCCTAGAAACAGCCCCCGATTTCACTCCAGAATCACGTTCCTGGCAGGCTGGGCCTGTTCATTTCCTTTTCGGCACTAGATCCTCAATTCTGGGAGACATCTACCAGGCCTCCCTTACCCTTTGTCATCCCACTTCCATGTTTGTGGGACCCAGACGATGGCCCAGGTTCATGACCAGCCCTCTTCCCCACCCCACCCCCCACCCCGGGGTCTGTCCCTCCCTGGGAACCTTATGTATACAGACCCCCTGCCCGCCTCCTGAGGCTTAGCAGGACTCACTGAACTCCCAGGGGCACCGGCCCGGTGAAGAGGCCTGAGCAGTCTCAGAATACATTTAGGCAGGGAATTCGGGGCCCTGGGCAGCCAGAGTGTGGTCTAGAAGAGGGTCATAGGCTCTGTGCAGGCCTGTCCCTTTGGCCCTGTAGACTTTTCACCCCCATGTGAAGGAATGCGGCCCAGGACAGAGGGGAGCCTTCTAAAGCACGGGGCCCAAGGCAAGTGGCTCCAGCTGTCCAGTCTGAAGGCAGTATTCAGTGTCATCATTGGCTATGGCCAGAGTCCTATAGTCACCCTCCTTCTAGAAGGACAATGCCACTGACCGTCCATCAGCAGCACCATTGCTTCAGATGAGGACCTAGCACAGGAACCCATTTCCCTGGGCTGCAACTTGTGCTGTGGGTCCCTTCGACTAAGGGCAAGACAACCAGACAGGGCCAGTGAGCAGCTAGAGGACGAAATGAAGCTCTTTGGGACCAAACCTGGGCCCCAGCCTCATTAGCACTGGGTCCTAAGCATGTGAGCTGGCCCCAGACCCAGGACAGGCCAAGGGCAAGGGTCCTGTTTGTAAAAAGGGGTCTGGGCTTTTTATAGCCTTCTGCAGCTGACTCAGACTGTTCCCCCGCGGAGGCGGCATGCGGCAGTCAAAGACCCGGGTTCGGGTCCTGGCTTTGTCATTTGGCCTCTGCATGACCTTTGTTTGGCAAGTCACCTTACGCTTCCGATGCCCAGAGGGAGGATTCCCAAGCAGGTGGAAGGAGACATGCTCTCAGATGGTCTTGTAAGCTTCTAAGCCCTGGACAAACGTGGCTGTGGTTATTCATATTTTTGAGAAACAAAGGGCAGATCGCTGTTACCATCCCTGCTCAAAGGGTCCCTGCGATTAAAACGGTACAGACAGTGACACAGAGCGTGGGAGAGTATTGCCCTTGAGAGAAAGATCCAGGATGGAGCAAGCCACGAAGAAGAATCAATGAAGTGTAGACGGTGGCCCATGCGAAGCCTCGTCCCCTGGTCTCCCCAACCTCCCTGCCCGCGGGACCTTGTCTGCAATCCACACAGCGAACGTCTCGAGCACACTTTCTGCGGCCCACTCCCACTGACAAGTCAGGTAGGGGAGACCAGGGATGTTTGGACACGGTCCACACATCAAGGAAGGCAGTATGCCTTAGCACACCCCCAGATTCGAGTGCGGTTACAGACAACCTGACTCAGCTCCAGGGAGGCAGGGAGGCTTAGCCCTGGGGAGCGCAGTGTGAATGAAGGGAGGCGAGAATGAGGGAGGGAGGAGGTGAGCCTGCATATAGTTAGGGGCCCCGACAGCTGCCCTTTATTCCTAGAGGCTCAGTCTCAGAGGTCTTCTCGTTTCTAGAAATCTTATCAATTTGGGATATTGTTTAATGCAGTTAAGAGCTAATTATTTTTATGCCGGCTGACCAGAATCAGTTTTAATCTCTTGGTTTTTAACCAGATTTATAATCTTCATTGCCTGCGCTGAATGCCCCATTATTTAAATAGCCCCGCACTCTGCTCTGGTTATTCCTTGTGACTGATTTCTGACCTTTCACTGAAGAGTAAGCACGACCCTGGATTCCCACGGTCTGAGCCCTAGATTTTGACAAA